GGTAGGGGGTTTTCCAGAGAGTTGGGTTTGTTTCGAACATTTAATCATCCTTGGTTATAATTTCACCTTGCTAAGGAACTATACTGGCAGTTTGCCATTGGGGGCACCCCCTCTAATAATTTGTACTGCCATTAAGCTTACAGCTGTTTGCCAAGTTTTTGGAGACCTTTTTGTCACTCTGGAAGTGCGATGTCCGGCTATATTTTTTATGCACTTTTAAGACAGGGGACCTGACTTACTCTATAGTTACGTAATCAGTACTTAATGTTTATCTATTTATTAATCGCGCTTGTTGTTGGGGGCACTATTGATCTTCGTGGTTGTTGCTTTGGGAAGGTATTAGTCCCTACGCCCTACTATTTCCTTCCGCCAAAAGCTCAACACTATGACAAGCATAGTGGCCCGCCCAACAAACAGCGCATAAATGTTTTTTTTTTAGCTGCACACGAATGGACCTTTTAGCGCAATCTACTCGAGCCAAATATGAAGTGTACTATTAGAGACAATAGGAGTTTTCTTAAACAAACTGCATTTTCCTCAATTTGTATTAAAACACAAATGCATTATAATAACAATGCGGTCTCGGCAAAGCAATAGTTGCCTTGCTCAGGCCGGGCACTATTGTTTTTCATGCTAGTTACCTGCCAGACGTTATTCCTCAACATAGCAATTTTTCAACGATTATTTTTCATTGTTTGATTGCACGTAATTTACTATAGTAAATACTTAAAATAGGTTCGCTATGCTTTTAAGTACCCCTCCAATGTTACTATTGTGATAGTTGATTGAAGCGTAGTGTTTGTATATAAGTCAACTTCCCTGCAGCCAAATTTTTGATAATTCGTGGCTCTGTTGTATAGTTTAGACCCTTAAGTAAGGGTTTAGGACTAAGCAAGACTGTTTGGGCCAGCAGTTATCAGTTTAGGGAAAATCCTGCGGTTAAGGCCAAGACACACTGCCAGCGACAGCGAATCCGACGCCGTAACGACAACACGACTTTTTTCAGAATAATTATTAGAAACTTATTGTTTTCCTTATGAGCTATTGCACACACACCGCCCGTGACAACCCGGACCCGAGCGACTAACTTCGACAACTCAAAAATATTTTAGAAACACGCCTTAGCGCTGGTTCGCGGTTCCTTGTGTAGTTTTCTAATTTTCCAGCGGACGACTCCGTGATTTCGCCCCGCGACACTGTAACAAATAGCCAATTCGCTCAGCCGTTTCCAGTTGGCACTGTTTTGGACATTACCGATTACTTCCCAATAAATAACATAATGCTAGCCAAGACGTAGATGCTGGTTCTCTCGGCGCTAAACTCGCGTCCGCATGTGCACAACATAATGGCGTTTCTGCCAGCGAACCACGTTCTAACCAAAGCCGTGCAAGCTTGTTTGGGGCAAGTTATGAGACGACGTCACTGTATTGACACAGTACGTAGGTACGCTACAGTAACATTTGATAATTTGTCTTCAGTGTTAAATTTGACTTTTATTTATCTTATTCCTTAATAAGTTAGAGTAGTTTTTTGCCAGGCCTGTTAAGTGTTATTTTAAACCGCCAGTGGGCTACGGGGTACGGTAGCCAATCGGTCGGTTTGAAGCCCCTTTATTTTGTGCTGTTTAGGCTTAGGGTTTAGGGTTAGGGTTTAGGATTGAGGGTTTAGGGTTAGGTTGTTGTAAGGGGTTATTGGTTAGGGTTAGGTTTTTAGGGGTAGGCCTATAGGGTTAGTGTTTTCTAGGCTTTCATTCTAAACTCTCAAATCGTGCAATTTTATTTTCCAAAGCCTGTTTATTTCGGAAATTCTTTTAGCCGCCACCGCCGCCAATCTTTGTCTCGGTTTTAAGTTCATGAAAGCGATACACATGGATCTCTCCTCGCCTCGCCAGTGATAATACGCACTCTCCGCTCTGCTCATGGACCTTCTCGCGCTGCGCAATTAAGATACGGGGCTACCGTACCCGCTAGCCTCGTCGTCCAGTGTGGATATTAGATAGTTTGTCATAGAGTCGCGTCTCACTTCTCTCAAAAACTAGATGCGCGCTCACTGAGTGTGAGATATATATCGGAGCGTGCCCTTATTCTGCGCCTAGTTGTTATTAGTCTTTATATAGAAACTGTTTTGTGAAAATAGAGAAAACTGTTCAGTGCAACATCGCGCCCTAGTAGGCCCAAGACGTGCGCTCACACTCTCTCACGGAAGGATTTTGGTGCTGAGGCCAGACGATGGCTGGTGGAAGCAGGATGTTGTCACACGACTTCAGGATTGACTTAAACGTCGGTGTGTGAGACAGAGAGGTCCGCTCGCTCGCACCTCGCGCTCACCGCACCAGCATGTGGTCAACGCGTGTCCTGGCGCTCGGCCAGTTACAGCACCCCAGCCCGGCTGTGTTGAATGTACTTCTTGCAGAGAACTGGAAAATTATTCAACAAAAGTGGGGTAACTATAGTCGCGTTCACAACGGTCAATGGTTCTGGCTCGAGCAGATGTGTTTGGCCAGTCGACCGCAACCTGTTTTGTCGTTTGTTCTCGTTACGGTCGCTGGTCAACTGTGTCGCCTTAGATTTGGCTGCTCGCATGGGGTGCCGGTTTGAGTCGGAAGGTTCACACGTACGCAAGTGAATATCTGTCTTGTTCAAATTTTCAAATTCAATTCAATAATAAATTGCTTATTTGCACAAATTATCTCGCAAGATACTTTGGCAGTATGTCGCGAGTTGCGTTGTTTACTGGTCCTTCGGAGTGCCTCTCCATTCTACGCTTTTTTTCTAGTGTTGAATTATCTCAATCTAGATGCCACCACAGATAGTTCGGTGTGACCTCACCTCTCTCCTCCTCCGCTCTCTTGATGATTATAACTTGTGGTGTGGAACTTTTATCGTCGAAAGTACACGTGTCGGACGCACTGCGCGCATCCTACCGAAACATCCAAAATTTACAGAATCCTCTTCATTAGCCTGATTTCGTGCCGTTCGCCGCACAAGAAGCATTAGAGATTTTATGTTAGACATTACAGGGTCGTAGGTCACAGACGCTGTTCGTGTGCAGGAACCAACGTGTGGCACGGGTGCGATTTTGTTCGGCCCCTAATTTATGAACGCCATGTCCGCATAAAAGACTTGTCCTAGTTGCCCTTAGCACTGAGTGCAACCTACCCTTTGAAGATGCCATGATTAGTTGCCGAAAAAAGGAGGGTTTAGAACCCGGCCCAAAATAATAAACGACGTCTACAGGTCTCTGTCTCATTCTCTCCCAGATTTCTCTCGCTAACAACACGATCAGTGTCAGTGGCTCGACGCCAAATCACGTAGCGCCCCCTGGTTGGGCACCGAATGTGTACTTCTGACGTCCACTGGAGAGCTGGGGACCCACTGATCTCTTATAATAATATCTCTATATTGATATTATTATAGAGCATCAGTTGGAGCTGACCACTAATTAAAAATCGCACTCCATATGATCCACTGCATCTCTATAATATAAAATTAATCTATTATATATATATATATATATATATATAATATTAATAATATATATATATCTCTGCCCGAATTCCTGCTGGTCCCGTCCCGTCTGTCGCCTCCACGGTGTGTGTGCGCAAGCCTAATTAGGCTCGGGCCAAAAAAACGGTTTCCGGGTGAAACGCGCCTCATGCAATACATCACAAAT